CTGATTTAAACTAGAATTTATGATTGGATTATTGCCTTATCATTTTGTGTCTAAAATCAGTGCAAAATTGAGCTGTACAAAGATATTACGTCTTAAGTCTAAAGTCGTAAGGAAATAACTCAGAGGTCCAAAACCGTGCTTTTACCTAGCTGCCCGCTCTACGGTGGTCAGAAAAGCACTGTAAATAATTACGGTGTGGTGTAGCGATGTTTCGTACTAAATTCACATCTCCACCAAGGGCGGCTCCCTAAAGTTCAATCATGGTTCAATACAAATCAAATAGGACGCAGCAAGGAAACTTGTTCCGAATCCCAGGGGATGATACTTCCATTTGGTTAAGGCCCCAAGCAAAAGTAAAATTATTTCCAGTAGTGATGAATTCCTTTCAAAACTAACAAGGGACAATAACAAATATTCTGAAGCAACTGGATGCATATCATATCTTAAATCTATATATATACTTTAGAGACCGCTCCTTGCCGGACAGAGCTTCACAATTATAATATTAGAGCACAACTGACTTTGACAAGGACATAAGCTAGTCATAACTCATATCTAAAATAGAACTCACATAATAATCACCTCATTTCAATACAGGTTTTACGTGTCCCATAACATGATCTTTACACATCATATAACAGTCAAAGCCAACACATTCAACCATAGTTCACCTCAAAGATACATGTTAAACAGGAATTTTAAGTAGGAACTCCTTTCAAAACAAACAACGGAATCAGCCCCGTCCAAAACCAAGCCTAAAAAAGCAAAGACGGCTCGAGACAACCAAAAAAACAATACACACAAAACATACATGTTCTCCCACAACTCTTGGCACAGTGGTTGCTACCTCTTGAAAAACATGTAGAGAAATGTGGTACGGTTTTGCTGTCTGGTTTTGTCAAGGCTTGTGTTGGTTTGTTGGAAACACGGGGGAATACAGTAGAACCGCAAACAAGGCAGACAATTACACACACACACACATCCCTCAAACACAGCAGAACAACAAGCAAGTTGCACAGGTCCAACATCCAACAAACATGCACTGCCACTGTCCCCTGTTCTGAACAAACACACAGGATGGATAAAATTGAACAGCGGCGTTCAAAAACCAGCACCGGCATCACTTGAAGAAAAGAACAGTTCAGGATCTGTTAGTGATTGATCTCTTTACTCAAAACAAAAATCATTGCTTGTGATTGACTGTCTTAAAGTGACATTGTTCAAGACACGTGGGCGATCTCTTCAGGAATCACCACGGATCCTGGATCTGCTGCAGGATCCACTCCAATCTCAATGGCTGGCATGCCATGGGCATCCGTGGTGACCATAAAGGAGTTGACCGATTCGGAGTTGTCGGCGAAAAGTTTCTTAGAACACTGCTCCCGAAGGGCATTCAACTCCACCTGAGCACACGTGATCTTCACGTGTCTTGCAAAACGTCAACCCTTTTCAGTGGAACACCCACTTGGATCTTCCAAATCATGGATATTTAACGTAAAATCTGGATACTACCAGTTTTTTGAGGGTCGGAGGACCCAGGCAGCTTATGTCTTCCTTTTCAAGTTTCGACTCGGGGTCGAAACTTACCAGTGCCATCTCATCCCAAGCTCTAAGTTTCCTGGGAGTCATCTTCATCTCGAACACCGTCTTTGCCAAGGGAATCATGGACTGAACCCTTGCGAAGATCCCATGTGATCGCGCATGAGGCCCCATGGCTATGAGATATCAAACAACCACCTTTTGTTGGTTGGCGCTCAACTGCATGCTGGCCCAGCTACCATCTCCCTGACCTTCTCCTCCATGCCCGGTGTTGACCCGCACGCTTCCTTCTCTGCCTCCATGTCAAGCAAAGTGGCGAAGTGGCAAGTGGCAGACTGCGAAAGGAATGCCTGGTGCACTTGAGCCAGCCGCTTCAGAAGTCCAGGACTGGGTTCAAAATACCAAGCTGCATAAAAATCATGAAAACGATTAAAGTGTGCTGGCAAAAACATATCTGCTCAGGTGCCATATCCGAGCAATTGCTGGTCCTTGGTGGGTGGTCGCTGTGATCTGTTGATGTTGTGCTCTAGACGCTCTGTCCGCTGGACAACATACCTGGAGCCAATAGCCAAGCCTCTGACTCGGGGAGGGTTCCAGAATACGATTGGGTTCTTAACCAGGTTCTCCCAGCCGGGATGCCAGAAGGCTATGCGATTGAATCGATCAACCTTACCTTTATTCCGGGAATTGCAAGAGGGAGTGACTGTTGGGGAAACTCCAAAACAAAACCACAACCTGCTTTCAACACACTCAACCTGGGTGATGCCATGCGGTTCTTGATGGCACCCCTGATCTCGTAGTACATGAATTGCCTAGTGTAAAGCTATGAATAACGCTAATGAGATAGGCAGGGCTGCTCAAAAATGTCATCTTGGGAGAACTCAGCAACAAGTCTAGAGATGCTGTTGATGTGGTTGTCGCCCGTCATCACCTGCCCACCAATAAACCAATGTGGACTAAAGGTCCAAACATGTCTCCCTGATCACTGCTAAATAATGCTTAAGAGGGAGGAACAATCGTTTGAACCACCTTTGTGGATCTACAATCCTTGTGGGATCCAAAACTTAGGCTCCCTTAGGAACACTCTTAGATATTAGATACACTCCTCACACAAGACCTCACAAGACATCGGTACTCCTTCTCAAGAAACTTCTGGGGACTTACACCGTAAAGTGGGCCACTTCCTGCCCAAAAAGCTGAATGCCACTTGAAAGTTGACTGTTCAGGTCCCGCGAAAAAGTCATTCTCCAAGTACTTGCATACTTGCACTTCGCTTTGACACCCGCAGAAGCCTGTCAAAATCAACCCAAAGGATCTGGGCAAGCCATTGTGGCTATCCATGAACTGGAAATCAGGGAATCCCAAGCAAAACACCATGGGTGTGAGTCCCACGGTTTCCCGTGTCAGTCTCCAAGAAGAGAAAAAGGATCCAAAACCCCGCGGCAGCTCCCGCGGTTCGGCCCTCCAGAAGCTCCGCCGCGCAACACGCTCCTCCAGCGCGGCGATGCGGGCGGCAGAGCCTGAAGGCTCGGGGAGACACCCGCCTGACCCCAGGAAGGCGATGTGAATTCCGTGGCAAGAAATTCACGCGCAAGATCCTGGCAGGGAGTATCATGATCTAACCTGAAAGGCCAAGGGTCCCTTGGGGACCACATGAAAGTGTAACCTTGTCCAGTTCCATATTTGTTTCAGTGTGTCTAAATTTCTTGGTGGGCGGTCCTGCAATCCCCCAGGGAAGTCCCCACACTCTTCCTTCTTGAGAGCTGAGACTGGACAGCTCCTGATTTGATCGTGAGCATTTTTCCGCAATAGTTACTTTACAACTTGTGTTACCCCACCCGAAAATGAACACAACCAACAACAACACCTAAACACCTAAACACTTGGCAACAGTGAAGGTTTTCGCAGAGCCATCCAACAATAGTAAAGGTTTTCGCAGAGCCATCCCAAGGTTTCGCGCAACCAGTGCACTTCCAATCTGATATTAGGGAAGCTCGCTGGCCTTTCATGGACGGCCTCATGTTTGGCTTTGAACGCTGTCCACAGGGATGCGATTGGATTTGACACACATGCAAACTAGCTCACACAGCTGCTGTGTTGCGCTTATGTCAAAAACAATCGGAGCAATGCAAGGCATTTTGCCCATGACCAGGTTGGTGAAATATGGCCTGTCATCCCAGCGTGAGTCTGACACCGAATGACGGCGCCATGTCCCTTTGTCTTTGACCCTGGAACCGCTTCGTTTGCCCGCGCTTTAACGACACGCCCCTATTGCCTGCACCAGCAAGCGAAAATGGTTAGTATCCGCAGATTAGTTTGGGCCTGGATGCGACCAAAGCAGAAAATACTGGAACTGGGTTCCTCCCATCCAGAAACCCCGCATGCCTATGGAAAAACAGTTTTTTCTGCAGCTTGTCCATCGCTAAGTTCACTTGAACCGTCCATAGCCCAAGCCTTCAGCCTCGAAAAGGCCTCAGAAAAAAAGACTTGACGCCTGTTCACCAAGGCCCAGAAAAAGACTTGTGTGCCCAAGGGCATTTGGGAAATGGAGCATGTTTGGTAGTGGATCAATTGAGTAAATGGAATGTAGCTTTCCGCAAATGTAACTGGGCAAGTTGAGTACCTTGTGAAAATCCTGTATGACACGTGGCTGAATATATGGGGTAGTACATGGGGCATGGTACATGTTGAGAAAGTGGGGTGGAGTTTAGCTTGAGTAAACTAATACAATAAAACGGTAAAGTAAATAATTTGGTAACTAGGGTAGATAAGGACAATTGCAGCACTGGGATAAGTCGGACAAGTTGATCAGGCAATCTTGGAAAGCTGGACAATGTCTTTAGGCCTCTGATGCCCCCCCCAAAGGGTTCTTGCAGCAGAGCTGCTCATGGCATTGTCCTCAGTCCGCAAAGCCCGATGAACCCACTTGGCATCTACAGCAAGGGTCACGTAGCAAATTTCTGACACAACCACACAAAACACGCAAACGCACACAAACACCACAAACCAGCAAACAAACAAACAAACAAACAAACAAACAAACAAACAAACAAACAAACAAACAAACAAGCAAGCAAGCAAGCAAGCAAGCAAGCAAGCAAGCAAGCAAGCAAGCAAGCAAGCAAGCAAGCAAGCAAGCAAGCAAGCAAGCAAGCAAGCACACATACACAAAAACACACACACACACACAAAACACAAAACACAAGCACGCAAGCAAGCAGGCAAGCAAGCAAGCAAGCAAGCGAGCGAGCGACCGAGCGACCGAGCAAGCAAGCAAGCAAGCAAGCCAGCAAGCAAGCAAGCAAGCAAGCAAGCAAGCAAGCAACCACACACACAGACGCACATCCACACCCCTGCATCTACACACTTGCGCCGGCACAAAGACACGCATGCATATCATTCTATTTGCTGACATACAAGCTCAACGTGTTGTTTGAACTTGCATGGACACGGTACATCCCTTTCATCACTTTGTCTCACTGCCTGTCCACGCTTGCAGTTCCCACTACAGTGGTACTTCCACCATGTCAAATTTGTCAGCTGTGAGATCAAGCAACTACCAGCACCCCCCAACCACAGCTATTTTGTCCAGGGAGTTTGGACTTGGGAAACAGCAATTCTTGAGGTTGCTGGTAGCATGAAGTGCGATGTGATGGCAGGGCGCCAAATCTGAAGTAACTCTTTTTGGCCTGAGTTGGCTTACTGTAGAAAAAAATGAAGCCCCAAAGGGGTCCACAAAAGGACATTCCCAAAACACAAGACAGCTTTGGTAGATCCTAAATTCTTTGTGAGAGAACGGGCGATCCAATCCGACCCTTCAAGTGGTTGGGGCATGGAGAAACATTCCCCAGTGCACCATTTCTGTATCTCCCCATTTGCAAAAGTCTGTCTTGTCTGGCAATTCTCTGGCTGGCTTGCTGAAACACAGTTTGTGGTTGATCGAATTTACAGGAGAAGTAACCCCAAAAAACAAATAGGCAACTGGGCTTATTGACCCCCTCAGTCATTGGACTGCTGGCTCGTTTTACTAGCTTTCTGTCGGAATTCCCCTCAGTCAAACGCGGGTTGCTCCAAATGATCATAGAATCCCGCAGTCCACAGGTGCGTGGCCCGATCTGCCCAGGGTTTTGTTGACTGATTATGACCCCAACTATTCATCAGCAAGGCCGTTAATGACAAGGGGGGGGATATGCAAGAATCTGAGGGATAAGGCCCAAGCCTGAAATTGAAATAAAGCAAAAGGATCTGTTGGAAAAGCACGGCTTCCCCGAAGGCTTTCGCGCTCCTTTGGACATGTTTGCTTGTGTCTTTGTGTTTTTTCTAACTTGTTCCTTTCTTGCACGCAGGGCTCAGTCAATTCTCACGTATATATTTCCCCATCAAAGCAGCAAATCAAGTTACGGAGCAGCACCAAACTGTTGCCAGGCCCATGCTTCAGGGCTGGAAAGGCAATGTGATACGTGTACGGTCAATCTTAAATATCGCAAGTAATTCAACCACACACCGTGTCATGGCTGGGCTTTTCTGTCAAACAACGGTGGCTAAAACAAGGCCTAAAACACTGAATCAAAGGCCACCTACCCTTTTTGAGGTTCCTTTTTCCCTGCCCATTGATTATTTGGGGATTGAATACAGATCCAAGCTGAACCATTGCAAACAATCCGTGTCAAAACTGGGAAGCCTTGTCGCTTTCCCGATGTCTTCCAGCCCTTCCCCAGATGTTGGCGCGTGATTCCAATTGAAACCCTCCCCTCAAGTTGGTTCCTGCGAGGCGCCATGAGCCAGCGTATTACGTCTGTGTCGGAATGCGCAAAGGGCAAGCAAAAGGCACCGATCGTCAGGCCATGTGCATCCTGGCGTTGGCAAAGTGCCAAGTCAATTCGGACACAGGCCGTCGACTCAACATGCAACCCGCTACCTCCCAAACAAAAAGCCTGAGGGAACCTGACGCTGAAAAAACTAGTGTTTGCTTTTGCGGCTGAGAAGGTCCTCAGCAAAACCAAACGCCGCACCAAAGGCAACAAACTCCCACCTCTTGGCACAGACAATACTCTTTCCCTGAAAAAGACACTCTTACCCTCAGACTGCGCTTCCCCAATGCGAACAGCAGCTCACTCACAGAACTTGGAACCCTTTCTTACGGTTTTGCTGCAGGGACCCTTAAGAGCTCGGACCGCCCCCTGCATTTTCGCATGTCTGAACCGTCGTTTTCGGTAACGATGACTTCACCCCAGCGAAACGGAAACTGATGCTTCAACTCGTCAACATGAGTGTGCTGAACCCTCACGACGGTGTTCTTTTTGGTTTCTTGGCGTTTCGCTGAGGCGAAATCACCATAGTCAAACTCGTTCCCCGGCAGGTACGGTTTCGGACGTCAAACTGGCTATGCCTTTCTGAACACGGGGCGCTTGTGGTTGGCGCGCCGCCACTGGTATGCACAGGAGATAGGATGCGCTTATCACGCACGTGACGAAAAGCATTGCAGTCGAGCGCATGCGCTGATCACGTGCGTGACATTAAGCTCTGCTGCGAGCACGCAGTCGGGCGGATGTGCTTACTATGGTCGTGACGAAAAGCTTTGCTGCGCGCATGCTGTCAAGCGGATGCGCTTATCATGCGAAGTCGAGCGGATGCGCTTACCATGTGCGCGACGAAAAGCAATGCTGCGCGCAAGCAGTGGAGTGGATGTGCTTATCATGCGCGTGACAAGAAGCATTGCTGCGCGCACGCGGTCGAGCGGATGTGGTTGCCACGGTCGTCACGAAAAGCAATGCTGCGCGCACGCAGTGGAGGGGATGTGCTTACCATGTGCGTGACGAAAGCATTGCTGCGCGCACGCAGTTGAGCGGATGTGGTTATACCACGGTGGTGACGAAAAGCATTGCTGCGTGCAGGCCGTCGAGTGGAGCGGATGTCCTTACCAGCAGCGGCGAGAAGCGCGTGGCGCTGAGACCACGGCCTGAAACCTGAGAATAAAGGAACTCCAGAAAGCTGTTGAACAGAGAATTACAAAAACACCAACAACTTGAACAAGAAAGTTGGAAGTAATGTCCAAATAGAATTTGACAATGCACGTGGAATCAAGACACATGGGGGGCCCCCAAAAAAAATGCACCTGGATGACCACGGCCTGAAACCTGACAATAAAGGAACTCCAGAAAGCTGTTGACCAGAGAATTCCAAAAACACGAACAACTTGAACAAGAAAGTTGGAAATAATGTCCAAATATAATTTGACAATGCACGTGGAATCAAGACAAATGGGGGGCCCCCCAAAACAAAAATGCACCTGGATTAAAGACAAGCACCCGCCACCTGCGCCAAAACCCCCCCTCAAAAAAAAACAAGACTAAAGGAACAGAAAGAGAGAAAGGAGAAGAGAGACAGCCAAGCCAACACCTGGCTCTTCGATCTTTGGTACCTTGTTCCTTAAATTCCAAATTGCCAGCTGTACCAAACCCATGTTTTCTCACATGTCTCTTGTTTAAAACTTGCCTACAATCAAACCCACAAAGGGGGTGGTAGTACTTCAGCCCCCAACTCGATTTCAGGGGCCCCCGAAATAAAGCCGTGTTGCCTGGCCCCAAGAAAACAAAAGGAAGCTCCAGCAATGGAAGCTCAAGTCTACCAATACTAAATCAAATGGGAACTCAGTTCCAGATCTCAAAAGGAAGCTCCAGCAAAACTAATTCAGATGGAAACTCAAGTCAACCAATACTAAATCAAATGGAAACTCACTTGAACTGGATCTCAAGATAGTATTCCAGGTGTCCCCATCGTTGGGGGGGGGACCCTCGTTTACCAGGCAATTCCTTTACCGGCCATAAGAGAGGCTTGTCCAAAACGGCAGAACTTCACTAATGGGGTGTCAACCAAGTCTACCAGCACCACCCAATGAAAGCTGATTCCGAAGTTCAAGCCTCAAGTGATCGTGCGCACAGCGCCTGGTACATCAAGTCATGATCATACGAGCAAGCTGTTACTAATGCGTAAAAAAAATATGTAGCCCCTCCTAGTAGCGGTAAGACCAATCGATTCAAAGGAAAATGATCTTGACAGCAAGCTGGCGACAACGGCACGAGCAAACAAGCCAGCGGCACGTGGACCATGCCGTTCTGCTCCTGTCACAGCGGTCAAGGCAGCATACGCCAAGCGTTAAGTCCATTAAAGTGATACTCTTGACGCAGGTTGGACAAAGGTTTGGACTCTTCCGAAGCATTCAACACACATGGCTACGGCAAAAAAACAAGGTCTGGATCGGCCGGCGCAAAACCTCTGCTCTGTATTGTCTGGAATGACCACTCCGGTCCGGACATCTGGGGCGTCTCCATTCCAAGTATCTGGATCGAACACGCGTCTTCGGGACATCTGGAACACGTTGACGGAGATTTGGAATGGTCTGGGACACGCTGGACAGTTGTCTGGAACGGGGTCTGGAATGCTCGGGCCATCAAATCCAATCCGGAAAGTTCACTCTCTCCCCAATCACTTTTGCTTATTATATATCTTTCCTCTTTGCCTATTTCTGTATTTGTGTGGTTTCTTTGTCTATTGTTTTGTTCTACCTTTCCGTCTTTATTGTCTTCTTGTCGCTATAAATTTCCGTATGACCGTTTTTGTTACAGTTTGATTTATCTTTCTTTGTGTCTTTCGTTTTTGATGTCTTCCGTTCTTCTGTTATGTATTGCTTTATATATCTGTCTCTATTATCTTCGTTTCGTTCTTTCTTTAGTTGTGTCTTGTTGCTCGTTCCTTTCGTTGCTTTTCGTTTCTTTATTTATGTATTGATTTGTCTATTTGTTTTATCTCTTTATTTCCTTCCTTTCTTCTTTCCAGCTCCGGAATCGGAATAAGGTTCTGAATCGGAGGTCTGGAAAGGAGGGTCTGGAAACGTGCTCTGGAAGTCTGGAACGAAGTCTGGACCGCGTGTGGGCACGTGGCTTGTTCCGGACTTGATATTTTTGGCCGCTGCCACAAGTTTAAAGCGCGCCAGCCCCAACTGGTACGACTCTAAGTCACCCTTGACATGGTCACACATATCACATCCGAATGTGACTTAGCATTGCCGAGCTGTGAAGCTTGATGAAAGCTCAAGAAGACACCAAAGCAAGGCGTGTCAAGGCATACACGCAAGCAAAGTAACACGGTCTGGGGATTGATTGTCCACTTGCTTTTGGTGCCACATTAGGGCGGCAAGGCAGGCCAGGACCGAGGCAACCATTCAGGGTTTTAATGGCCGGTGCCAAATGCCTAACATGAGGGTGTGCCTTTTTTGAGGGTACCCTATTTGGACGCTTGTTTAAAGGGAAACCCAAGCACAACTAGCCTTTTCAGCGCCTACTTTCAGACACACCCATAAATTGAAACGGGACCTGGTGAAGGCAAAGCCGCAAAGCTCACGACCCCGAGAAAGACGTTCATTCAGTTCCCCCTTCAAAGGCTACCTCAAAGAAAAGGAAAGTATTTACCACCTTCGCAAGGAAAACAACATCAGTGCCGGTTTCGCTGGGATTCCTCGGCATTCTCACAAACAGCCACGCGCCCCCGCCAGTCTCTCAAACATGCGTCATGCGTCACCCAACGTTTCGAAGGTTCCAACAGAGCCTCTCGAGCATGTTTTCACGCCCCATTCTTCAAATATCCTAACTTCGCGGGTCGATTTGTGGAACCCACCGTTGAAATCCGCATGAGGCGTTTCTCAAGCGTAGGGCAGCTGCAAGTGCGGACATTGAACCCTCAAACTGAAGTGCCGCAAAACGATGGGATCCGGCACGTTGCGGCAAACCAAAGAGGGAAGAGCACCAAAAACGACGCCTTTCCTGTTTGTTTCGCTTGAAGCCAACCGAAACGGGTAGCCTCAAACAACACACACACACATTTTCTTCTTTTCTGCCTTAAACACAACCACTGGGTCTGTGGCCTTGGGTGGCACAACGGGTTCCTTTCAAATGCCTTTTACGGAGCCAAGGGGACGATGCGTTCGGAGCGCAAAGGAATCGGCGGACGACGGTCCCGGGTTCCATGTTGGTCTCTCCGTATTCCGATCCGCCGAAAGTTCAACTGAGTTCACTCGAAACCCTCCAAACCCAACACTAACCAAAAGCACAACCAAAAACCCTCCAAAACATAAGGAACCGGGGGCAGCCCCTCTAAACAACCTCTAAACACCTCCAGAAACCTCTAAACATAGAAACCTCCAAAAACCTTTAACAACCTCTAAAACACGCAAAAACAAAAAATCAAGGGGGGAAACAAAAAACACGTTGTCCAAAAATCGCGCCAAAGCGCGTGGCTTGAACGGGACGGCTCGACGGACGGTTGGCTCCTGTGACACCTCGCGCTCCCAGACTTCCGGGGTGGCAGCTCCGCTAGCCGTCTCCAGGCGCCCGTCCACCTCAACCCGAACACCCCGCAGAAAGTTGGGGGTGTCTGGGGGTCGACTCCTTTTCATGTTTTTGTTCTTTATGTTTTCTTTGTGGTGTTCTTTCTGGTTTTCCTTATGGCTTTCGTTCTAGTGTGTTTATAGTTTATTTATGGTTCTCTGTATGTCTTTATGAACCAGCTTTCTTTATGGTTTTCTTTATGGATTTAGTTATAGTATTCCTTATGGTTGATTTACGGTTATCTTTATGGCTTTCCTTATGGCATTCGTTATAGTGTTCCTTATGGTGTTTTTATGGTTTTCTTTGTGGTCTTCTTTATGGTTTTCCTTATGACATGCGTTATTGTTTTCTTTATAGTTTCTTTATGGTTTTATTTATGGTTTTCCTTATGGCATTCGTTATGTTTTCTTTATGGTTTTCTTTTTGGTGTTCTTTATGTTTTCTTTATGGTGTTCTTTATGGCTTCTTTGCGGTCGTTCTTTTCAACCATACTTCTTTTCAAACACCAATCGCTGGTTGTTTTTTCAGGCTTTTTGGTGGTTAGAAAGAAGGATCCCTGGAATAAGGAAGCTGCCCCTGGTTTGAGGCTTGAGCACTCTGTGCTGAGACGCCATTGATCCATGGCGATAAATCTCTGGCTCACTTGGCCCTCCACCTGGACATCAGCAGGGATTGACCATCTTTTTTTCGTGGGCGGCAAAAAACATGGGCAAGACATGGCCAACAAACAAGGGGCCATCCTTTTTGGTTGGTTCCGCCACAGTGCCCAAGACCCCACACCAACCACCCACCCCCCCAATTCCAGCGAGTGGAACTCAATTTGTTGTTGGTTCGTTGAGTTTACATGGAACCCTGACCCAAAGAAAGGTGGAAAAAAGAGCGGAATCCACTGGGCAACTGGGCAAGGATTTCTCAAAATGAGAGATCCCTGCTGGCTGGTATATTCCCAGCGAAACCAAAAGAGAACCAAAGACCTAACACCCAACTGCTTCTTCCCATGTCCCAAACTCTCAAGTGGCCAAAAAACAAGTGCTGGTGCTGGGTGATTGCCACTGGCTTTTTGTTTGGGCGTGCCTTTTTTGAGGGTGTCCCCGCTTTGTTGTTGGTGTTTTTGATTTTTGAGGCTACCATGAAAAGGGATCGTGTTTTGTTTGTCTAGGACCTCCAGCAGAGAGGATAGAATAAGAGTACCTTTTTTCTGTAGTCTATTTTAGTAGGGGAACCCTCCCAACCAAAACAAGGGATGGGTTAAATGGAAACTACCACTAAACACTAAAAGGCGAAAAAGCAAAGACGATGGCTGGGAGCCACCAAGAAAAGGGCTGGTGTCATTAAAACCGAAAAGCGCCCCGGGTGCTCCCCTTTGCGCGCCTTGGGCTCGCTCATTTCCGTCCAAGGCGCCTGCCCGGGCGCACTGCGGCTGCGCGGCGCGCTGCCACAGCCCGCAGACACAGAGAGGAACCTCGAGCGGTTGGGTTTCGGATTTTTCTAGACGTTTAGGATTTATCTTGGGCTATCTAGGGCGCACTCTCTTCTCCTTTTGGCTTCCCGACCTTTAGAGGGACAGCCCCCAGCCACTGGTTCTAGGGGTTGATTCCTTTTCCATTCTTTTCAACCATCATTCTTTTCGAAAACCGGATGTTTCCCCTGGGTTTTTGATGGTTCTCTGAAAAGAAGGATCCCTGGAATGAATGGGGAAGGTACTCCTAGAATTTAGGGCCGTCATGGGGCCAACAAGGCGGGCGCTTGGAAGAATGGATGGCTTTGCCTGGATGCAATAGTAGCCATCCAAACCAGCGCCGTCTACTTTTGATCAAACCTAAACGGTTCTCAGTAGAGACTGAGGCGTGGAATGACCCCGATGAAAAAAAGCCTCCAACCCATGGCTTCCTTTAAAGGAATCCCTATAGATTCATTCCCAACCCCCGGAAAGTCACCACCCCGAGGGTTCCGCAGCGATCCGCAGCGCGTCCCAGCGGCGTGTTCTCGGCCACCAGCTCGCAGTCCGTCTCCCGGAGCAGCTGCTGCAGCCGCGAGGCGTGGACCTGCCACCTCAGACAACTGGAGCCATAGAAACCTATGGGAGCGACCAGCTTCCGCTGAAAGGACACACACACAAAAGTACAAATATGAGCATATGTGTGTATATATATGATACCTTATTCTGTGAGTATTACATATCTTACACATACATATATATATATATATATACATATATATATAAATGTATATATATATATATTACATACATACATATACATTTGTATGTGTATATATATATATAGATGTAAAAAAAAAAATACACCAGTGTATATATATATATAGTAGTCATATGCCACTCCATATTTGAGCTGTCAGCCTTGATCCAAGGCACTTGGAGGTCGCATCTCGTGGCTCACAGGGACTTGCCTCTGGCGACGCCTTCTTCTGATTTGGTTGCTCCTCTCGCCTCGGAACAGTCGGCCCAAACCACGCGGACATCTCGACCCCCAAGCCTGGGCTGGGAAATAAAGATGTTCAACTAGGTCCTCCAGTAGAGAGGTTAGAATAAGGGTACCGATTCTTTTTTCTGTAGTCTATTTTAGGGGAACCCTCCCCCCAAAAAAGGGGTGAGAAAGGGCACTATCGTGGGGGACCTACTCAAGCTATCATGGTTGCATCTGAGATTCCGCTCCCTTCCGCGAGCTTCCGCGGGGAGAAAAAACACCCATCCGCGGCTGCAGTTGGCGCTACTTGTTGGTTATGTCAACATCTATGCGGGCAAAAGAACCGCCACTCAAATGGAAACTCAAATGGAAGTCATTAAACAATCCCCGGAACAAGAACCTTTCCGGCACGAGCTGCGAGAACACGAATGCCACAGAAAGGCTGACCAGCCCTCAAAACCTCAAAAAAGGGGCATATATGTATAATTGGCCGCACTGCCCCATCATTGGCTAATCTCTCCCCCCTATGAATAAATACGGGTCCCCCCCCCCAATTATTAAAACATCCTCCCCATTTTATTATTATTGGGGTTTTCGGAATTTGCTTTTTTTGCTTTTCCAACAATGTGAGGGTTCACATAGGATTTGGAGGAAATGGATTGAATTGTAAGGTCCGCGAGTAAGCGGTTTAATAAGGAATATGTATCATTCTATTTGTTTTTCAGTTTACTGTTTGTTTGTTTGCAGCCAGGCAGGTTAGGGAGTCAGGGAGTCAGGGACAACCAGGGACAACCTTTTGGGGAGAGAGTCAGGGACAACCTTTTGGAGAACCCACCAAAAGGACCCAACCTTTTGGGGAAGCCAGCTTTTGGGGAAGCAACCTTTTGGGGATTTCATCTTTTGAGGAACCCACCTTTTTAAAAGTGGGGCTGGAAGCTTGTTAAAAGTGCCCCCTAACAATTGTGCGGAGTGGAAATCTGGTCCCGGGCCCCGGATTTCCATTTTTTATTAATTGGGGTCATTCATTTATAGGGGAAGAGATTAAGGCACTTGCTTGATTTCGCACATTGCGAGATTACCCCAAATAGAGCTCCCTGCAAAGAGCCAAGCTGCCAGGAAAGCAGCATGTGCAAAAAGGTGCAAACCACATCCAGTCAAACCATATCCAAGCAATTGCCACGATTGACCTGAACATATATATATATATATGTATACATATTAATGTATTAATGTATACATATATATATATATACATTTGTGCTACCCATAATATATCCCATTCAGTTTCCATATGCGACCTCAACCTCAACATATGGGTGTGTCTCTTTTTAGGGGACCCCTAAAAACGAATCGCGCCTTTCCTTGTGGTTTCCCTGTAAAACCACAATTCAGGGGGCGCCAGAAAACACCGTAAAACACAGTGGTTTGTACCATCTTTCATGTTAAACTCACATCCCCACCAACACCCGGTCTCTAAAACCAGAACCCCTCCCCCCCCGCCTCCGCCCGCGGGCCGGCACTGAGCGCGCACGCGCGGCCAACAAGGACGCAATGGCCTTGGCAGCGTGGGGCCGTCCGTCGCGTGGGACGCCATCGTGAAAAACGCTTCGAACAGTTTGGGCGGGTTCGAACCGGGCAACTTGAAGGGCGTGGCTCTTGACCATCGGCTTTGACACGTGCCACATGCTGTTGTTGTTTTGTTCTTCCCAATGCGGCAGGTTGACGGAAGAAATGCTGGTCCATGCGAATCCTGAAAGGTGTTCAGTACGAGCCGAGGTTTCCTCTGACGAAACTGATTGCCCAGCTGTTCAGGAGACAAGGCCTCAGTGCTCTCTGTGTTCCATTGAAGTTACTGAAGTTTGAGGTGGGCAGGAAACAAGCTGTGACATACAGCAAAAAGCAGTTGCCCGATATTGACCGTTCTCGCAACTGTACATGGTTCATACCTGATAACGTACAATTCGTAAGTTGGACTCGCAACCGGGCAACCTTCCTTGCTGGTGATCGATAGGTAGGGATTGACAACGAGTCTGGGTGTTGGGAATGAACCGGTTTTGTGGATTCCCTTAGGGGTCATTCCATGTCTCATTCCCTGCTAAGCGCCAGCAAGCTTCCAGAACTTTCTGGGGGATTTTCGCCTTTGAACCCCGGAGTTTGTCAATGGGAAGACTTGCTGCTGGACCATGGTTTCATGTCCCATTGAAAAGGTTCCCGTTTCAGCTGCCAAAATGCGATCCAAATTTATCCTTCAAGTACTTTTCCTCTATATGGAACTTGCATGTTGGTGCGCCTTCTTTGCGGTTCGAAAGAAGAACCAAATAGACTCCTCTCTGGGGCGCTGCGATTCGTGACAAGGTCAGAACTTGGGCTCCACATATGTGTCAAGGGCAACTCAGAACTCCACCCTCTCCCCCTCCCGCCCAACCCCGCCCCCTACCCAAGCCCCCCCTGCCCAACCCTCCCCAGTTTTTCCGTCTTCCCTTCGTTTTCCCGGCACAAAGCCCCGCGAGTTAGAGAGAGGCGGTTTTCGACCACCAGCCGGAGCGGCTCCGGGCACCTCGTTGAAGAGCGGAAGCCCAGGATCCTCCTCGTTCGGCCCAAATGCGCTTCTCACCGGACTGACCAAACGGTCTGAGCTTGTCATTTACCACGCAAATGGGCATTCCAAGAAGCGACTAAAGTCCAACCAACTCTGGGATTTGAAAACCCATGGCAAGCCTGCCCACGGTCTTACAGGTCTTGGTCTCTGCTTTTTGTTGCCTGTACTAAGGGAACTGGTGCTCTTATTGTGGTCAGGTGGGGCTATGACGCCGGATGTGACCGATTCTGTATGTAGATGCCTGTAGCTGATTCGCAATTCCGAGTGCTGTGTGAGCCGCACTCAGCTGTATATGTATATATATATATATAATATGGTTCCGTTTTCCCTGTTGCCCCCCCCCCCCCAAGATGGTATGGGTCCCCCAGGACCCCCCCCAGCCCGAGACCCCGAGCCCCCGGATGCTGGCACCTATATGGTCCCACCCCCACCCCGACCCCCTGAACTCGCACCCCGACACCCCGGCCCCCCCACCCCCGGACAAGCCAACACGCAACCCACCATAAACCAACCCTAACCTAACCGTAAACCAACTCTAAATACACCCTAAACCAAACCCTAAACCGTAGACCTCTAAACCTAATCCAACCATAAACCAACCCTAAATCAACATAAACCAACCCTAAACCAACCCTAAACAAACCCTAAACCAACCCTAAACTAATCCCAAATACACCCTAAACCAATCCCCAAACAATAAACCCTAAACCTAAACCAACCCTAAATCAACCCTAAACTAACCTTAAACCAACCCTAAATACACCCTACACCAAACCCTAAACCGTAAACCTCTAAACCTAAACCAACGCAAAACCAACCCTAAATCAACATAAACCAACCCTTAACCAACCCTAGGCTAACCCTAAATACACCCTAAATACACCCCAGACCAATTTCAACCAACCCTAAACCGCCACAACCCAAATACAGGACCACAACCACAGGGCGGGGGGTGCTTGTCTGACCCATGACCATTGGCGGGGGGGGGGGGGGGGACTGGCAACGCTGTACCATATATATGTATTCTCTATATGGGTATGGATCAAAATTAAACCACCAGGGGACCGCAGGTTTTAGTCCATGTTTCCATTTACCAAGACTCCATTTTGGGTACATATTTTTGACCCACAGCCATATGTATATCGCCTTGTCTGCCGAATGCGTCTGAAACCACAAGCTTAAGCTCGGAAACTTTTCAAAACAAGCGGTTTTTCAGGGGTGTACTTGTTTGCTGTACCCCGCAACATGAGTCTTGCGGGAGGTTTAGCAGCCGGGAGATGTATTCTGAATATTGAGGATGTGTTCAAAAACAACAGGCAACATGATTTTGTCAGTTTCCTTACTTTGGTTTCCCCTTACACAGGATTCCAAACCCGTGAGGTTGCCTCCTTTGAAGCATCCATGTACGTGGGGGTTCCAAGTTTTGTGCACCCAAAAAAGGTCAAATAAGTTATAAGTTACTCCATATTGCTCCCAAATCCATACGGGAAGCTACTATGCTTCATCATTCAGTGTCAGGGCAGAATGCAAATCCACCGACCATTTGGTGGAATCTCTGATTCGTTCCAATGTCCTGAAATGCGTGAAGAACCCCTGTTTGGATGATTTTCGAAAAACCAACCAGTTGCAACCTGAACCTCGGAAGTAGAAAAACCTGGCGGATTGACAGGGGTGCGCGTCCCCAGCTAAAAAAATAAGGATCCTGACTCAAGCGGGACAGACCCCTGTCAATCAACCATTTGACTCATCCTCAATTTCAGAAACGCCCAGGTTGCATGCCCCGGTCGGTCCCGTCTCGTCTTCGAGCTCTGTGCACGGCGCGCATCCCGCGCGCGCAGCGCGCGGCGCTCGTCCCGTGAGGACGCAGCCGCCGTCATGGCTTCGACAAAGCGTTGGCCAGCGAAATGCTTGGGGCAATGACGTCCCATGTGAAATCACTACAGCTAGACCTGGTGTCCAAATAAAGATGAACACATTATTCTATAATTACATATATATGTATATATATATATACATGTATGCATAAATTGACGTCTATGAATGACTTTGCTGTTACATCATGGTGCCTCATAGCATCTTTCGCGCCTGAAACATGGAAGAAACGGACACCTGCCACACACACACACAGAGCTGCTATCCCTGTGCCAGCCGCCTGTTCCGCGGAGCCGAGCAATTCAATTGCCTGAGATATGTACAGCTGCGGTGCGAATCACCTACCTGGCTCTGTTTGTTTGCGTGTGTGTGTGTGAGCGCATGTGTGTGTGTGTGTGTTCACACTAGACGGCCCAAGACAATCAAGACGACGCCATCTAAGGGGGGGCGAACCTGACTGGAGATACATGGCTGTGGCTCAAACGATGCTTGGTAACTGCAAACAAAGAATAACACATGCGCAACCCCAGCTCTTTCATTTTGAGCCACACCCACATGGTCACCATTCAAAAAGGTCAAAGCGAGGATGTGCACAGCGTGTTTGCTCCCTAGGCAGGGCGCAAGAGCAAAGGGGCACGGCAAACGGAGATGTTGAAAGGGCTCCGGTCATTTTGCCCTACCCACAAAGGTCCCAGTCGGATTCCATGCTAGTTGATAGCTTAACAGGAAAAGTGAACACCTCGGCAGGAGTGATACCAGGACCACCTCGGCAGGAGTGATACCAGGACCCCTTTGGGAGATACAATGGACCACTCTTGGGATCCCAACGCCGGCAAAATTTCGTCCAAAAAAAACAAAAGCATCCCAACCTTGTTCGCTGGAGTCGCAAACATGGAGGACACCCTTTCGTGCTTCAAGGGAAAGCACGAGGAATTGACGTCCACTGACTCACCTCTTGAGTCATGGGCCAAACAAATCTGAACTTTCTGCTTGATTACCAGCAACATGATCTTCCCAACAGGGTTCCAGTATCCCTGAAGAGTACGGGTCCTTTGTGTTGGCCACTCGACTTTCTCTGCCCATGGACTGTTGGCGAAACGTATCAGGGCTCGACGTTGCCACTTGTTGGACTGAAACTGCCCGCATTGAAGGGACACGGAGAGCTAAAAAAACCTGGAGACGAAAATTAGTGCATATATGGGGGTCAAAAGCCAAATCGTACCCCCAGTGAACATCCCAATCCAACCACTAAAATAGGTGCCCTAAAATGGGTGGTGAATTCACCTACCAACCAAAATGGGATCCCATTGGTTTTGACAACCACAGCCATCTCCACATCTATATCACAAAGGGGGTTCATGTTCGATCGCAACTCCGGGACTCCAATTGAGGGTTACCGTTCGCCCAATGGGGCATCCGAGTTCTCTAAGCGTTAGGACAGGGCCTCATGGCCTGCCATTTTGCAAGTGCCCTCTGACAAAGTTAACAAAACAAAAGAACCCAAGGGCAAACAACATCAAGTCGAATGCCCTTGTGGAAACCACACTAGGAACAGGGGTTTCAGACATGGAGTCACACACAAACCTAGAGTTTCACCAAAGGAGGCATTCCCACACACACACACACACAAACACACAAACACACAGGTACACAGAAACACACACACACACACTCAAACCCACACCCACACCCACACTCACACCCACACTCAGACCCACACTCAAAGCCACACTCAAACCCAGCCACACACACATGTTCTGACTTCCTGAATTACTGACTTGCTCACTTACTCATGCTCAAACTTACTTAAACTCACTTGTCACGATGCATAACCACGTTCTAGACACGAGTGGCACGGATTTCCGCCTTTTCTTGGGTTCCCGGCGTCTCTGGCGTCGAGACTCGTCCAGTCCTGAGATGGATTCCCCGCCAAAAGCAGGTCACTTACTAGTCGAACCCTGTTTGATGTTTGACTCTGGCTCATGTTCAGTGAATCTTAGCATGTGCATAAATGTCAACACTGGGCTGCCCTCAGATCCTCCGCTAAAAGTTTAACTGTTCGTGGGTTCAATGGAAACTACCATGGCTGCGAGCCACCAACAGAGATCTGGGGGAAGAACCGCCGCTGTTCAAGCTCAACGTCTCGGATGGACCTCCCGGCTGAAGTGCGGCTAAGAATCT